AGCTCTCTCTACCAAGTCTCCAGTTAGAACTTCCAGGCTCAAACTATACCCTTTTATTCTGAAATGAACATCTGCGTTCAACGCTGGTTTCCTTCCCAAAAATATCCACTGGTTGATCTCAGACTAACACAGTTTCATTGATAACAGCAAATCTGAACAGTTGAATTTTCGCTGAATTTCTCCAAAACGAAACACATGAGGAAACATATACACGCTCCCTTTTGTTGCAAATAGTTAAGGTCTGTAGAAGCTCTAAAGTAACTGTTAGTCAAAGATCAACAAGTGGATATTTCAGAACTAACCTTTTCCTCGCACCAAGGCCCCGCCGGCTAAGAAAGACAGGCGGCCCTGGGACTGAACTTGAATTAGCATCAAATATTTTTCGCTCTTTACACGATGTGCCTGGAAGCTCCGCTTCTTCTTTCAAACTTTGCCTAATGCCGTGTATACATTGCAAGAAATGTGGAAATGGCTCCCATTGTCACCCTAACGATTAAAAGCTGTTATAATTGAACTTGATGTAATGTACACAACTGTTTACAAATTCATCTGCGCCCGGAAACAGTTTTCCTCTGAAAACATGCGAGGAATGTTCTAACCAAGAACTGTCATAAGATTAACCTGGCATTGTAATATACCCGTTCAGGCCTGAATTTTTTTCAGGCTTTAATTTCACAACTGCTTAAGTTGTGTTTATAACTGCGATGATCAATCATGTCTTCATATCTTTCTCCGCAGTTCAAATATATGATCTTTGATATATTCATTTGCATTCGTCATCATCTACTGGTATATTACGAACTCACAATGTGACCAGCTCCCAGTTGGCACCGGTATCGCATAGGTCATGGGTTCGATTCCCGTTCAGGCCCGAATGTTTTTTCAGGCCTTAATTTCACAACTGCTTAAGTTGTGTTTATAACTGCGGTGATCAATCATGTCTTTATATATGTCAAATGTTGATTCTTTCAGGTTAAAGTTTTTTTATTAATGTGATATTTCTCTTTATGATTGTAACAAGAGATACGGACATTCACTCATCAATTCTGGAAGTTAAAATGTCCGAACATTACCCTCACCTTCTTGGCAGGCTTAGAGGGTGTTTTATACGCAAACACTTTACAAGGAGTGTCCAATACATTAGAATTTCTAAACTTTTTCGACGAAGCAACGAAAGCGACGCAAATTATTCGTAATCCAGTGTCTGTGGCGGGAGACATTCTGGTCTTAGATAATTGTACAACACACCACAACGCAGGCGGTTTCGCTCTGGGGCTGCGGCTGGATACAATGGGTATTGACTTCGGGCAGTCGTTAAAAGCTGGAACATGGAACATTCCCGAAAATCCCGGAACATCAAAAATAGAATAATTATGAGAAACAATGTTTAGAATTAAATAGAGGAATAACCAAGAAAGAGAAATGAGAGAAATAATAAACAAAAATAAACTGGTATCTACTCCGAATACTCAAAACAAGAAAAAAACGCCATTGACTTCAATCAGGAGCCATAATCGGGGACGGAGACCGTAAGCGC